TTGATGACGGTTCAACATTGTCAAAGAAAAAAAATATTATTATTATTTTCTGGTCCATTCTCATGATGAGACAATGTTTAGTAACCAGGATAAAGACATAAGGAATTTTTAATGGTTTCTAAGTTTGATACAGGGAATATAAAATGGTGTATCTATGGGATAACACATTTAGAAATCACCTATGTAAGTGTGAAGTGTAAGCCGCTTCAAGGAGAATCCGGTAAGGCCAGTTCTTTAAGCACTTACTATCCAAGATGTGTTCATGGCTGAAACGAACAAAACAATGAGAACTAAGAACAGTTCAAGGGTTGATTGTGTGATATGTTGTCTAGGTATACACCAAAGCTCGACGGTTCAAAGATATCAAATCTACCGATTGACCGAGTATATCCGATATATGTTCACTACGGAAAGTTTAAAGGTAAACCTACTTATCCAGATGCGATTAACCTTTACCTACAAGACACACAAGTTTTTTCATGCATATGTTTTAACAATAGCCTTCCCCATTCATGTGGGGGATTGTTGGGTTTTAGCAAATGTGAATGGGAAAAGAAAAGAGAGAATATGAAAAGTGAGGGAACTACTTTGGAGGGAAAATGAAAAGTCATTTGCAAAGTGCAAATGAAAAGTCATTTCTTATAAATTTGCAGGTAACGGTAACATTCTGAAAAGTTGTTACTCTTTCCGAAAAGTCGTTACTTTTCGAAAAGTCGTTACTTTCCAAAAAGTAGTTATTTTCCTAACAGACACAATTTTTTCGAAAAGCTGTTATTTTTTCCAAAAGACACAACTTTCTGGATAAAATGGGTCTGAACAGATTTCACTGAAAAGACATGTTCCTTGCTGAAAATGGCTATAAAAGGAAGTCAATTTTTGATTTTTTAATCACTGAAGATTTTTTCTTTCTCTGCATTTATTTTTCTCTCAAATAAAATCAAAGTGTCGATCGACTGAGTCTGTGTGACTTGTTGCTGTTTTCAGTTCGTTGAAGTTAAAGAAGTTTGAGGTACCGCTATTTCTTTAACAGGTGTAATCCGTTTTATCTTGGGAGAAATTAATCCATAACCTTGGGTACAGTGAGGGGATTAAATTTCTTAAGGACACACAGTAGTTTCAGTGGACTCGGATTAATTCCTCTATTTTAAATTTTTTCTGCTTCATCTTGTTTCTGTTTCTGTTCATTAACTTCATAAATACAAGTTATTGTAAGAATAACAGGGTGAAATCACATTAGATTCAAGTTTTGTTATATTGAGATTGATAATTAAATATTAAGTGAAGTGTATTATGTGATACCATTAAGATTATGTTATTTGGAGATATTGAGACTACACCCTAGACTTGAAAATTAGAAAATATGAGAGTTCACATGTTAACAAAATAAGGAAATTGATTCTAAATTTGAGTTTGGGGGTAAGTTAAACACCTAGTATGGGTGTCATTAATTTTGAAATCTTATTTCGGTAATTTAATTGAATAAATTGCTTTGATTTGAAAGTTTAACGAAAAGGGAAAACTCAAGTTCCAAAAGTGAACTCTTGATCGATTAATGCAAGTGGATTTCTAAACCCTTGTTAAGTGTATGAAATTTGTGTATTTCCTTGTGGTATGTGTTTGGGAGTAATGAGACTTGGTGAAGGATTGACTTGTCCACCTTGATTAATTTTGATGATGAAAAGGGGTAATAAAAGACAATGTGATTAATTGTTTGTGTGTGATGAGTTGAGAAAGGTACGAGTACCGGTGTTATAAACGCAAAGTTTATTACTATAGAGTGTGGATTGTAATTCGAGAAGGCCAGGGCATATGGAAATTAACTGATATTATATTGATTTGATTTATTATGTGTGATTGTGTTCTTTAATGAACCCGTATAATTATGATTATTGAGGCGATTATATGTCATAGTGACATTTTATTTATTGAGACATCGCATCATCCTCTTTATTTGATATCATATTGTGTACATGCATTGACATGAGATTGGGTATGAGTAAAGGTCTAACACATGTAGATCGTCCGTGTTAAGATCGAGTATGATTATAATTTGGGCACATGGAGACCGTCCGTGCGAGAAATTGATTATGATTATAAGTTGGGCACATCGAGATCGTCCATGATTGAGATTGTTAAATTTTATGATAGTGCATTGAGATCGTCCGCACAGAAACATGGAGATCGTCTGTTTCGGTACATGTACCTCGCGAAGCCCCCCATAGGTCATGAACTCTCTATGTATTTTCAAGGAGTATCATGTATAAACGGTTGAGAGAGTACTTGGTATTTTGAGACATATCATTTCATCGTGTCATATTACATTGCATCTCATGATATCCTTTGGTTACCTTTATTTTATGAACTTGATCTTGTGTGTTGCTGATATTATTTGTGGATGTTGTAATTGATGAATATTATTGAGCTTATTGTTGAGAATATGTGATTGTTAGAATGATATTGTTGAGATATGTGCTTGTAAATTGTGCACTGTTAGGTTGAACTTATTTTATGCACGTTGTTGTTGTGGAGATTCGGTTGGGGTGTAAGGAGTACCCGTATTTTATCCTCTTAGATTGTGTTTAGAGGTTTACTTGCTGAGTACCGTGTGATTGATACTCACCCCTTGCTTCTACTATTTTGTTTGTAGGTTATTAGCTTGGACCTTTGTGATATTTTCTCTTTACCTTGTATGAGGCTTCTTATGGAGATTTATGAGGCCGTTGCTTGTCATTTCAGTGGACCTTCTTACTGCTATTTATGATCTTGTTCTACTCTAGAAACAATGTCATATGAGACTTGTATTTTTCTTTTGATTAGATTGCAATACTTTAGAGGCTAGTATTAGACTTTTACTGTCGTTTTACTTCCACATTCATTATATTAGTAGGATGTTAGGCTGACTTGTCTTGATAAGATAAGACGAGTGTCATCACATCTATTTTGGATCGTGACACCATGGGAGCATGATGAAGAGATGTGAAGTAGTGCATCCTTTTTTTAGGGGATTGAAGAAGAGTTGTTCAGTTATTTTGTTCTATTTTGCAATATTTGGAGCTCTGTTAGGGTTTTAGTGTTGTACGTTTCTTGTTCTTCTTCTGATCCTTTTCTTTCTACTTCTTATATTATATTTTATAATTAGTTGTATAGATATTTCTTCTTCTATTTCTTTTCATATATATATATATATATATATATATATATATACACACTAGGTAAATTTTTTGAGCTTTACCCAGTCCTAAATAATAATTGCATTGAACTTGCAAATAATTTTTACTAATATCGATACATTAAAAATAATAGAAAATAGGTTCTTAAAAAATATTGGCAATACTCCAATATGAATTTGATTATTTTATCAATATCACATAAGTCAAGAACCTCTAATGAATGACTTATTCACGATATAATCAATCATTGGTTCTTCAATCAACATTGAAAGAAAAATAAAGAAGAACATATGAATATATATACAAAGGTGTTTCGTAATAAAAAAGAAACATTTAAATTACAAAAATTATACAATTGTGATATATGGATAAGAAGAAAATCCAAAAATTTGTTAACATTTTCAAAAAAGAAATTACGCTTGCACATGAAAGCAATTATAACTTTTGAACTTGTATAATGAATTTCTTCAATTGATAAGTGAGAAATTTCATATTTACGTAAGAAAATATAATATGTAAGCTTATACATAGCACTTTTACAATAATTATTTTCCGTACAATAAATATACCTACTACATGTATATATTTTCTATCTATAACCAGAGAAAATAACTTTGCAGAAATATAAAAAACCAAGTTTAAAACATGTACTCAAAAACAACAATTAATATCATAAACATAAATTAATGAGTGTAAAAAACATATCAGGATATGTATGAATAGAATGAAATATAAAGGAAAAAATCGAGTTCACTGAATACACAATATCCCCTTTAAAAAACTACTTCCCTCCAATACAAGAGATTTAATGAATTACATCCTCTCACGATGAAAGATTTTTTCACCAACTTATTGATAAAAAATAGTGGTGTTAGTAAGTCACTCGAAAGGAGCAAAGTACAAAAATATTTAATTTTGCGGAAATAGAAGAGATTAAAATTAGTTGTTTTAAAATGAGAGAAAATCCTTCTATTTATAGACAACAAAGGTTAGTGTGAACAAATGTTTATTGTGTCTTAACAGAAAGGTTACAACTATTTGAAAAAATTGCAACCCTTCGGAAAATTCATAACCTTCATAAAAGTCACAAACTTTTCATAAAGTCGCAATTTTTCATTAATGTCACAACTTTTCATAAAAGTCATGACTTTTGATAAAAGTAGTAACTCTTCATTAAAGTCACAACTTTTGATAAAACTCACAACTCTTTATTAATGTCATAACTTTTGATAAAAGTTGCAACTATTCATTAAAATTGTAGCTTTTCATAAAAGTCATATCTTTTAAGGAAATATGAAGGGTAGTTTTGGAAATAAGTAATTTTAAAAGGACATTATTGCTTGTGGTGATGCCATATAGGTGGGCCTAGAGCTATCTTTTATATAAATATATGATATATGATATATCAAAAATACAATTATAGATTCAATTTTTAAATTTTTTGTTAAGAAAATATTCCCACACACATATTTTTTCTTTTATGATTTAGTAGTAAATTTATATTTATTATTTTTGATGGTTAGATTTATTTTATAAAATTGTCAATATATATCTTTAAAAGAATTTTTAAAATATAAAAAGTAAAATATAATATATATCCAAAAGCTCAAATTCAATACCTCTCTATTTCGAATAAAGAAGGTATATTATTTTAAAAAAATATTAAATTAAAATTAAATTAATAAACACATATTTAACTTTCTAGAAAGAAGTAACTTCTTAGAGGGATAAACCCAATCCAGATGTAATACTATCACTTGTATGTATACTAGACTAGATGTGGAATGCCCGTGCAAGGCACGGGCCCGAGATCATACCAATTCTTGCTTGTAAATAAATAACCAATTTTTATTTTACGAGTTTAAATTCAAATTACAACTTGAAATTAACCAATGAAAGTAAAGTCAATTAAAAAAGAAATATCTTCCTTTTTTCAACACTCCAAAAATGTTGGTGTACATATATCTTATCCTTAGAAATGCATAGAGGACCAACATACACAGTACTTTTATAGAGCCAAAGCAACAAACATGAATGTTCTTGTGACGGAGCAAGTGTATTCTGTTTTCTTGTTTTTGATTTCATTCCAAGCTTATGAAGGGGATTGTGTTTTTGATTTCATTCCAAGAGATCAAACAAAACATACGCTTGTGTTTTCTGGAGAACACATTAAGTTAGAAGACAACATTAGCATCTAAACAATACAAACACGACTATACAAGTTAATAAACCAAATACTACAATAGGAAAATGAAAATTCAATTTCAAAACCAAGCAAAATAAGAACCTATTGTACCCTAACATTAGTATGGATAATACTTGGACCAATGGAGGGGATGGAAGCGTAAAGAGAATATTCAGAAAGATGAGAGATGTAAGGATGAAGGTGTGTTTTATTTATGAGGAAAGCTCCTCTATTTATATACAAAATTTACAAACTTTTGGCCAAAAGTGGCCGACACATACTTTACACATGGCCTCTCTTTATTCGGCCGACACAAGAAAACAAAATACTTACTATTACTACTTTATATAATTGGCCGACAAACTTTTTACATGATTGGCTGACAAACTATTTACTTTACGACTTTTATACAATTTGGCTTTTTATAGCCGACGCAACACGACAAAAATAAAATTATTTCTTTCTACATATGGCTGATATTCAGCCGACACAGAATTTTAATAAAATACAATTTTTTTTTTACTTATTCGATTTGTACGTCTGGTATGACATTATCTTCTCCTTGACATTTTGAACATATATGGTCGGGGTATTTTTGTCCAATAATTTTGCAATATCTGGTCAATAATTCTTCCGAAATAAACCCTTTCCTTAATGCTCTTGTTGTTGGTTTTTGCTCTGGCTTGAGTAGACTAAGTATCCATTGGCGTATCTCTTCCATATCTTGTTCTCTGGTTTCTTTAGAATTTGAATATATCATAACTTGCTCTCGTACATAATAGCTCCATACTGAGTTTCCGTTTAAATAATTGTTAGTTAGTTCATTTAGGATAGTTGCTATTCCTATAACTCTTTTGTTGGCGTAGAATTCTGGTATCTCAATCTTTTGTATTTCTTGTTGTATTCCGATATCTTCTGGAATTATCATATCTCTGGTCAAACCAATTTTTATAACTTGTATAATTGGTTTTATCTCATCAAATAATATCTCTGCTGGTGCTGAATAAAACTTTATATAAAACAATGTTCCTTTAGTAATTCTTTTATAGTTCATAAAGGCTTTGTATAGCTCTGGTATGGTAGATATTTCATCTCCTGTTTGGGTATAAACTGTATTAAGTAATCCATAACTATAACATGTTTTTACTAGATTTGCATTGGTGCCCGGTTGTGCTATTAACTTATTATATCCTTGTAGCTTTTGGGTTATAAAATCAGTGTTAGGGTTTTTGGTAGTTGGAGATCTAGGTGTTGAGTTTAAATAATTTTGGATTTTATAAAGGTTTTCAATATATGAGCGGGTTATGTGGTTGTAGGCTTTTTTATCTTGGTTTAAACTTTCTGAGTAAGTATGTATTTGCGGTGGTATAAATAATGAGTCTTTTTGGTTCTTTGGAATAAATGGTTTATCGAAGATTTTGTTCATATTTAAATTTGTATATCTTATTCCACTAGCTCCTTTTGTTGTAGATGTGCTTGCTGTAGCTGCATTTAAACAAACATTGTCATGGGTTTTATCGAGTTTCCCAACGTCTCCTTCTAGTTCTGGCTTTTTACCGTCTGCCGAACGACGTAGCTCCACATTTTTAGAGTCATGCTGCTGACTTGTAGATTCTTCCTTTTCTTCTAGCTTTTGAATTCTCAATCCCATACTGTCCACTTTTGTACAAAGTGTAGTTAGGGTTTTGAGTATGTTTTCCATAACATTATCTTGTCCTGGCTGTGTAACTCTGTCTTGATAAATAGTCTGCAATCATATTTTTGTCAGTTTTTATTACCTCAATTGTAAATGTAAAATTTAGTATGTTTAATACTAGTCTCCTTATTTCTTTTGTTGTAACTGAATCATCTAATTTTTTCGTTATCCACCATTTTACTTGTGTGTTATCTGTTCTTACAATAAATTTATTGTAAACAATATATGGTTCAAATGCTAATAAACATTTATATAATGCGAATAATTCTTTTCTATTTATTTCCCATTTTATTTGTGCTTCTGTATAAGATCCTGAATAATATCTACAATGGTGTTCTATTTTTTCTTTTTCATATTTGTATTTTAAAACTCCTCCATAACTATGATCACTTGAATCTGTTTCGACAATATAAGTAAATGTTTTATTTTCATCAGGAAAATATAGTTTTGGTAGTTTTTTACATAAATTCTTAATATTTCTTATATGTTTTTTATCTTTATCATCAAAATGATATTCTACATCTTTTTTAAGTTTTTTATGTAATGGTTTTAGATGTTCTGCTAATTTTGGTATATATTCTCTTACCTGATTTACTAATCCTAGAAAGGATTATAATTTCTTTTTTGTATCTATATTTTCATCAATAGTAATTATTTTTTGTACTATATGTGTTTGCATTTTTATTCCATTTTTATCTATTTGTATTCCTAGAAATTCTATTTGTGATTTCATAATTTCTGCTTTTCTTTTACTCAAACTTATACCTGCATTTTTTACTATATGTATAAATTTTTCCAATAATCTTATATGTTCATCTTGTGTTCTAGAATATAATAATATGTCATCTATATATACAATACAGTTTTCTAGCTGGTTAAAACAGTTATCCATAAAATGTTGGAATCTACCTGGTGCATTTTTATATCCAAAAGGTAAAACATTCCATTCATAGAAACCTTGCGGTACTGTGAATGCTGTTAATTGTTTAGATTCTTCTTCTAGTTTTAGGTGGTAAAATCCTGATTTGCAGTCAAATTTACTGAAATAATTATATCCTTGTATTTGTCTTATTTTTAGTATTTTGTTTGGTATTGGATAATTGTATGTTTTGGTTTTAGCATTTAGATTACGATAATCTATGACCATTCTACTTTTACCTCTTTTTTGTTCACTATGTTTTATTACTATAAATGCTGGACTTGTATGTTTACTATTGCTTTTTTGTATGTAATTATTTTCTAACAATTCATTTATATGTATTTTAAATTCTTCTAGATCAGCAAAGTTATATTTTAATGGTTTTTGTGTTATTATACTATTTTCATCTATTAATTCAATTTTTACTTTTGTCTTATGTTTTTCCCATCCTTGTAATGGATCTTCACTATATAATTGTTCTATTTGTTCATTAATTAATTTGACTTTGTCTATAACAAATATAATAATTTCTAATTGCGTTATTTGTTTATTATTTATATTTTCCATTTCTTGGTTTATCTTTTCACTTCCTTTTATCCATTCCATAGTTTTTCGTTGTTTATTATTTACTCTTTTTGCTCCTATCTTATTTCCGCATGGTGTAGTAAGCCACCAATGTGTTTTTGTTATTATGTGTGGATAATATTTATCTAAAAATGGCATTCCTAATAACATATCTTTTGTAGTAAATTCAAAATTATACATTTCTTCTATTGTTAGTATTTTATCCCATATTTGTATTTTTATATTTTTTGCTTTGTATTTAATCATACTTCCTTCATTGTTAAATCCCGTTACTACCATAGGTGTTTTTAATTTTTCCCATTTATCTTCTGGTAGGCAATTATATTTACATATATTCGCTTCTGCTCCTGTATCTATCATAGGTGTATAATATCTGTTGTAATATCCTTCTACTATAATTTTTGCAAGTATAAATATTTTCATTAATCATTTTGTCCTTTTTATAATTATTTTCTTATTTTGACAAGTTATTGTTAATTGTTCATTTTCTATGTTGTATGGTTTAACTTTTTCTAACCATTTTATTCCTAATGTAATATTATGATCTCCTTGGCATATTTTGAATTGTATTATTAAGAGTATTCCTCCTATAATTATTTCTTTTTCTGTTGTTTCTTCATTCGTGTTTACTATCTCACTAGGTAGTCCAGGGCATGTATGTCCTGTTCTTATAATTTCTTCTTCTAATACTAACTCTCTTGTTATATAATTTTCTTCTTGTCCTGTATTTATTAATATTTTATATTTTCTTTGGTCTATTATTCCTGTTATGAAATAATGATATGGTGTTATTTCTTCTTTATCTAATAGGCTTTGTGGAATTTCATATTTTCTTTTAGATGTACTCATCCTTGATGAGGTGACTCTTGTCAATGTATTTGGTACGCTTGAAGTGCTTAATCTTTCTTTTACTATCTCTAAATCTTCTTCTATATCAATTTCTTTATAGCTATAGTCATTATTGTCTATTACAGTAATTATTTTTTCAAAAGGATTTTCTATTTTTATTTTGTTAATTTTATTTTTTGCTGTTATTTTATGCTTTGTTGTTAGTATATATAAATTTTTACATCTTGCTGTAAATAATTTGCTTCCTGGTGCTAGTTCTATTCCAGACATTTTCCAATATAGAACTAATGATCTATCTATGTTTTTATCTGTTAATGATACTGTATAATTAGCACTTATTGTAAATTTAAATTTTTGATATATCAAGTTTCCTTTTACTGCACTAATTACGCTTTTTTCTATAGGGTGTACAATTCTATCATCTGCTAAATATATTTCTATAGGTGTATCTATTCCTTCTCTAAAGCAGGCTTTTATTAATATTTCTGTTCCTCCTAAATGTACATATTTTATTGGTGATTTAGCTTTTATATCTTGTATTTCTTTGTTTATCATTCTTTTATTTATTATAGGTATATATGTTTTTCCTCTTGTGTATTTGCAATCTATGATATGTTCTTTTTGGCTAACTACATAGTATTCTTCTTTTTGTCTTTTAAACAAATTTCTTAAAATAGGTATTTCTAATACTTTTTCAACACTTAAATCTAATTCTTTTCCTTTTATTTGTTCAAATATCGTATTATCAAATATAATTTTCTGTTCTGATGATTCTTCATTTTGATATTCTTCCTTAGATATTATTTTTATTTCATTTTCAGACATTATATTTCTTCATCTGTTTCATTATTATCTATGTTAATATTTTCTTCTTCATTCTCAGTTTCTATATCTGATACTTCATATATACTATCATTTTCACTTAATTCATAATCTATGTACTCTATTTGCATATATTTTTCATTATCTATAATTAATTCTGCTATCTGTTTTCTTTTTGGATTTTTGGGTAATTTACAATCTTTAGCTATGTGTCCTATCTTTCCACAATTATAACAAGTACATTGGGATATCTTTCTTTTCGGTCTGTATGGTCTTTTTATTTTATAGTTTTTTACATAATACCTTCGTCTTGGTTGTTTATATTTATATATAGATTTCTTTTTTCTATAATTTTTATATCTTTTAGATTTTTGTTTTTTAGTTGTGCATCCAAATTGTGGTGCTATTTTATTTTTGCAACATGATAAATTTTTATTTAGTACTTTTTCCATTTTTAATTTTTCTTTTTGGTTTTCACATAGTTGTATGAACCATTGATTTAAAAATTTTATTCTAGATCCTAAAGTATCTATTATTCCTTCATTATTCCAATCCTTTATTACGTTTGTACTAAATGGTTCTGGTAATTTTGTATAATATTGTTTTCTTATTTCTTTTGCTTCGTCTAAATTGTATTTAGCTTTGTAATAATATTCTTTAAATGCGCAAGTATATTCTTCTAAGTAACACATTTTACATATAGCTAATTTTGTCATAAGTTGTCTATTTATTATTTTTTCTCTATTTTGTTCTCTTATATCTGTAGTCATGCCTCCAAATTCATTTCTTATTGCTGATTCATATTTATCTAGTATATCTATATTTGTTGCTGATGCAGATCCATCCATTTTCTTATCATTCCTAAGTACTTCTAAACTTTCCGAGGGTAGATTTTCTATCCATAATTTTGTTGTTCCTACAAATGTTCTTTCTATGTATCTTGGTGTTTTTGCTGTTTCTATTTTATTGTCTATTAACTGTTTAGACATATTTCCTATCCATATTAATATTGCTTTATTTATATCTGCGACACAATCTAAATCTAAAAAATTGTATTGTTCATTTGCTGGTTTAGGTGTCCAATTTTTATTTAATCTACTGTTCCATATTGCATTATTTCTATCTGATTGTTGATAGCTCTCTGTATAATAAGTTGGTGGTGTTCTCCTAGGACTATTTCTGGGACTATTATCTGGGGTTTTAACTCTTGACGTACTAGGTCTATTCATATCTCCTGTGTTTATCTCTAATTTTTTCGATTTATTTATCTGTTCTAGAATTTCTGTATATGTTTCACTTATATCACTTATTTCTGATTGTTGGTCATTTTCATTTCCATCTATTTCATTCACTTCAATATCTTTATTTAGATCTTCATTTAGTTTTTGTTCCATTTGTTTTATTTCATTTGTTAATTCTAGCTCTTTATCTTTTTCTTTTTGTTTATTTTCATATAATAATTTTAACCTAGCTAATTCTTTTTCTAATTCACTTATTCTTGTATTTTTTATTTCTTCTAAATTTTGTACTTCTTGTTTTGCTTGTGTTTTTATTTTTTCGATTTCTCTTGATTTATCTATTTCTTCATTTTCTTTTGTTATTCTTACCATAGCTGTTAAACTATCTTCTAATTTTGCTGTTTCTTTTTCTAGCATTAAATATAAGTTATTTCCTATTTTCTTGTATCTTCTTCCTAAATTTGAAAATACTATTTTTATTATCATTCCGTCTTGGTTTTCATATGTTTTTTCGTCTACTGCAAATTCTTCTTTGTTCATTATGATCTATGTATTATATTATGTTGTAATTCATATTCAAGACAATCTAATTCTAATTCTAACGTTAATATATCTTTTCTTTGTGCTAGTATTGATTTATTACATACTCCTGCTAATATGTTTTCTTCTAGTCTTCTTTTTCTATGTTGTAATTCTTGTTCTTTTTCAACCATTATTTCCATTATTTCTTCTATTAATTGTTGTTTATAGATTTCTTTGTTCATACTGTTTTTTCAAATAGCAGACATATTTATATTCTATTTTTGAAATTATGTTTATCAATTGATTTTTCCTATCATTATCTGTTTTGACTAGTTGTGATAGTTCATATTCTATATATAAAGATCTTAATTTTTTCCATATTTTTCTTATCTTTTTATCTATCTTAGTTCTTTTTATTTTAGTATTTTTATTTTTATTTATCATGGCTTTTTATATAATATTTTAAAAAGCCTACTTAATTTATCTGGATATCTAATCTTTTTTAACCTGTAATTCCTACCATATCGCTTTAGCCAATATTCAGTCATATTTAATCTCCAATATCTAAATCATCATATAAATCATACATATCATAATAAAGCTCATTTTGTATACTTTGTATGGTTAACTCAGTCCAACCTTGGGTTGTTATTTCTATTATCTCATATGTTAATAATTTATTATAAATTTCTCTTTTTATATCAATATTCAAATTTTTTAGTATATAGAATAATAATATCTTATAATCAACATCATCGTTTAATAGGTAGGTTTCCATTTTTATTATTTTTATTTTTCACTAAAATTTTATTCCTTTCAACCTCTTAAAAAATTATACTTGCTTATTATGCAAAAATAATGATTTAATAATCATCTAGTCTGGTCACTACTACAGTTTTCTTCTTTGATTAGTTACCCTAACAGCGCCTCAACTTTGTTTACTCCCCTAAACGGCCTTCTCTGCCTACCGGTTTCAACCTTAGGATGGCATAGTCTGGCAATACTTGTTTGAAGAATATTTCTGTAGCAAACTTTCTAAAGATGGTTATTATAACATTATTCAAACATTATAAACAATTATAATTAACAAGAGATTTTCAGGAATAAATTAATTTAGCTACTCATAAATATAAAATGGTATACCTGTTCTTGTAGATCATCTGTCATAGTTGATTTGTTTTCCATAGTTATTTAATTAACTAGCTCTGATACCAATGGAGGGGATGGAAGCGTAAAGAGAATATTCAGAAAGATGAGAGATGTAAGGATGAAGGTGTGTTTTATTTATGAGGAAAGCTCCTCTATTTATACACAAAATTTACAAACTTTTGGCTAAAAGTGGCCGACACATACTTTACACATGGCCTCTCTTTATTCGGCCGACACAAGAAAACAAAGCAGTTAAACGTACTCTGTGTATTTCTGGTTCAGTATGGATCAAATATTTGAGAGACTTAAGTATTTCTTGTAGTAATTTTTCTCGCCATGCTGAGCACAAGTTACTTAAAAAATGGCAATGGAAACACGAACTTGTCTAGTTCATTAATGATATCACAAAGTGGTTATCTCAGTCTTTGTAGAGTGGAAGTTAATATGACAGTGAACTTACATGTAGCAGCGAATTATTGATAGGCAACAAGCTACCCCAACCAGAACGGCTTTGGCCATAGTGAACTTGCGATGATTAATTCAAAAATTAGGACCTTTCTTAGCTCGAATACACATCATACACTACGTACACTAGTCTTGATATTATACTGTAAAGGGGAATACACTATTCAGGGCAGAAACATAAATTAAGGAGTTGAGTCTGCAGGGGAAAAACAATTATCATTGATTCATTTCCTCAAGTCTGAACGGTTGTTGTAGTATAAATTGATATCACACCCATTATTTCAATGTTCATTAGCCTAAAGATATTACATTATTGTATCCACATGAGAAACATTGTTCAAACTATCAAAGATGTAATCGCCAAAATTACAGTCATGCAGAAATTGCTAGGCTTAATTCATCAGAAATCAACCTTATAGAGCAGATGTATACATAAGTTCTCCATTGTATATAAATTTCTAGCATAGTCTATTTCATTGAAGAAATTTTATGAACATAAAGAGAGAACAAGCTCTTAAATTATGTGTGTCAAATCACATAGCAAAACAACTAATTCGAGCATGCTATAAGGAATACCAAAACGAAGAAGCAAATCCAGTAAACCAAAGTAAAATCAAAGTGCAAGAGATATTTCCGGATTCATCGAAACAACCAAATTAACATCAGGTTTAAACAAAAGGTATCAATAAAATTAGTAAATAGAACATTAAACAATACATAGACCAAGCATATGGTGGCGAAAAGATACACCTCCAGTTTTTGGTAGATCCGAGAGGAAAAACTTCAAATAATGAAAACCCAGAGAATGAACAAATGGGAAACAAGCAACAACCCAAATTAGTAGGCATACAGAGAAGGTGTACCTTATTGTCATTCTAAATAAGTGAAGGTTTTTACCTTCTTGTTTGGAGGAGCAAATCTATAGGGAATTGGAATGAAACGTTCGTGTTCGCATTATGGCAAAAAATGAATCTGTTGTTTTCCATGTAACATAGAGGAAACAAACCTTTCAGGATAACAAACGTGACTTTTATACATGGAACATAAAGGGAAGTGATAAGAGCTCTTCAGAATAACGAAGAGGAAGATATAAGATCCCAGAGAAAAAGAACGAAGAACGGGAGAAGGGGAAATTACCGACCTACCCTTCTCTTGAATCCAACAGAGAGAAACGACATAGAATTAATAGAATAAATTGGGGGTGAATTTATTGAGCTACGTGGCGGCTTGTATGATATATATATATATATATAAAACATGGTAATCATTTATCCGATTTCATACTATTACTCTACGCATATGAGTTACTATTTTGGGTCACCCGATGATATCTACTCAGTACATATTGCCTTATACTAAGCCTTACTTGTGTTTTCTTTGTTTTCCTTTTATTGAGTGCAGCGAGTGTAACAACAACTTTGACTCGCCCTCAGCTCTAGACAATGTCAGCATATCAAGTTCAAGGGTGATCTATTCATTCGAGCTTGTGTTGGATTTTCTCGGTCATCCTTAGTTTTTGGACATAAATTACTTTATTTCATTTACTTCAATGTCTTTGATACTCTTTGACTTAGTATTTGGAGATTAGATGTCCTTAATATGATTACTATAATGGAATTAAAGTTTTTTCAATTTAGTAGTAGGCTAACATAAACACACACCAAACAATATGAACAAGTGACAACTGAAGCAAGTATGTATTCAATAAAAATATCTAGCATACAAACGAGGACTCAGGCCTCTACACCACACTTGTTTAGGGAATGAGTTCATTGAGATTGAGTACTTTCAATCAATTCAATATGCTTTCTTTTAATGTTACTGTGTTAGAACGTGACGCTCCTATCCAATTATACCGTGTTAGAATGTGAGTTCAATCCAATAATACCGTGTCAGAACGTGACACTCCGATTCAATTATACAATGTAGAAACATAACACTCCAATTCAATTATATCGTATCAAAACGTGACACTCCGATCAATAATACCATCTCACAACGTGACACTCCGATCCATAATATCATGTTGGAATGTGAAACTCCGATCCAATAATATTATTAATTTATCATTTACTATCACCACTTTCACTTCATTAACGATACTTTATTAAGCCTCCATTATTTAAAGAATCACTTCTATAGAGAGGGTTCAAGACTATAAATTTCACGATCTCATGATTTCTGACCAAACACAAACCACACAATCAAGCCAACAACCACACAATCAAGAACATAGATAAATTCATAATATCACTCAATTTCATATCAATCACTATTAAGAGTCTACTATAAAATAGAATAAACCATAACCTACCTCCACCGAAGAATCGTAGTCAAGCAAGATGATTTTGCAATACTATTCCTTTCCTCAATACCTTCGAATATTTTCAATATATCAAGTATATATGAATAATTAGTAAGTTAACGAGTCTATAAACACTCATATTATTCGATGTCTAGTCTACACCAAAAAATTCACCTAATTGTGTAATCAATTTCTTAGAGTTCAAACACAAGAATAGGTCTTAACTCATTCAATTGGCATAGCCTTAATGAGATTCAATTAATATAATACACTTTATATTTTACTACATATCTTAATTTATTAAAGCTCGACTCACAATAAGATAACATTAAGTAATGAGTCCAAAATTTACCCAACTTACATGGGAACCACACTTAGCCTGCATACATGAAATATGCAGGACCTTACAACAATAGTAAATTCATAATTAGACCATAATTTACCATTATTGTATCCTAATTTTTCAACTAACATTAACAATTGAAGTCATTAGTTACGAGACTAGTGGAACACTTGCAGTGATAGAAACCCATTTTAGTCTTACCAAAGACATCACATGTATTAATCCTCACTTTCTTTAGAAATCTCTAGGTAGTATGAAACGTTCCACAATTTGAAATAGCTTGGAATAAGATAAGTAAATAAAACTATTCATTTTTGGAAAGAAAGGGAAAAAGCAAGAAAATTACCTGAGTTAAGAAAGTGAGTTTTGATAATTTTCAAACGGCCATAACTTCTAGCTTAGAATAAGTGGAATTTCTTGATATTGTTGGAAAGACCTTGGAAATATCTTTCCAACTCCGGTTAGTTTGGGCGATTTCAATATCGTATGAGTGAGTTATGCTTTATGGAAGTAGGACCGTTGGTTTGAGGAAAGTCCTAATCCGAACATAGAAAAGGGCAAACTAGTCTTTTCACAAATCAATTTCCAATTTTGTTTTAGGAGTTTATTTGAGGTAAAATAAGTTTTAGATAAAACTAGAAAATCAAAATCACGCTTAGGGCTTGGAGAAAAGAGAAAAGAAGAAGAAAAGGGAGAAAAGTCAAGATTCGCCAAGAACATCAAGATTTGCGAGTGGAATTCGTCGGGGGTGATCCCTATCAAGGTATGTGAGATATTTTCATATTGGTTTAGTTAAACCTAAAACCAAATTGTTTAAATTCAATGATTTTGAGTAGATTGAATGATAAAAAAGTGAAGTTCTTGAAGAACATTTTTGAATTCTTGTTGGTTGAGTTGTTGCATGCGTAGTGTTTATTTGATTCGTGTTACCGGGTTGTTTTCAAGTAAAATATATTAAGTATTGAGGTTAATAATGATCCTAAGTGTTTGGGGAAATAGCCATGGAAGTTAGGAGTGTTTAGAGATGAAAAATGGTGAGAAAAGTCAAAACGTGTGTCCGTATGGCCCTGACACATTGCCTCCTGTTGCCCCACATGACATTCTTTGTTCTTATAATTTAGGGATGCCACACTTGTTAGAGCGCCCCATCTTTGCCTTTAAAGTTTGGAGACTGGCGCCGCACGCCTCTAAGAGAGCGAAGGATGCCAATTCTATCCATTCATTTCCGACTCTTTCGTACTGGTTCCTAAGTGATGTACCCATGCTTCTTAGTTGATTCCAACACTCTAAGATAATTTAAAAATCATGAAATAATACATTAACATGAGATCATGAACCTTGAATCGATAATCCGATTCAAGAAAATTTAAGATCAAGGTCAAAGAAGTTAAGAATCAAGTCTAAAAGTTAAGAAGCAAGTCAAAGTAAGTTCTAAAACTTTCAAAGAGTCTTTAAGAAACTTTTAACTATGTTTTATGGCTCAAGTTTCAAGTTAAGCAAATAGTAAAGAGTTGAGTTCATTTCTCAAAATTTAAGGAACTAAGTATTCCCTAAGAGTTACAAATGTTTTCACATTTTGAGCAAGAAAGGAAGCTAGACTTCTAACAGAGCCTTTAGCTAGTTTTCAGTAAACAGTAAACTAATTTCCATGAGATTTTAAATCTATGTTTGAGCAATTACCTCAAAACAGAGAAAAAGTTATTTTAAAAACATATAAGCTAAGTATTTTTGGGAGTAGAATTAAACACTGATATGTGGACATGAGTTCATATTAACTCAATCCCCCATAAACCATGTACCCAACATGGAAACAAAAAAGGTCATACTTTTTAGATGACTCCATTGTACTTTTTAACATAGCCTAGTGGATCCACGTAGTAGTTCAGGCTGATAGATTGGATGGTCCTCTTTCAACGTGAGGTAAGAACATTTGACCATCGCTAAGGCTCATAATGGTTTTCTATTAGAAAATCTTCCATAGAAACTATATTACTTCATATATAAGTAAAGTTGAGTTTGTTATTGCATTTTCCTTAACAAACTAAGTATTTTCATTATTTTACAAGCTTTTATATATTTCATATGTCTTATTCATTAATATTGATTAATGTTATTCTTGAGTTAGCAAAGCCAAGGTAAGTGTTCCTTCTTTCTCTTTTTCAAGCTTAAGTTGTTGTTAGCATTCCAACTCGCGTACTCGTACATTTAATGTACAAATGTCAATTGGCCTGCATCGTATCATGATGCAGATGCAAGTAACCAGGATTAGCATCAGTCAGTGCCTCGTTGAGCCAGTTGAGCATTCAAAGTCATTGGTGAGCCTCTTTGAATTCTGGAGGACACATTTTTTGCTTTTTAGTATTTCCTTTTAAAGGATGTAGTGGGGTTTGTCCCAACATCCCTCTTAGTATTATAAAGGCTTCATAGACAATCACTTAGTCAGTTTTGAGTCTCTTATTTTTGTATTTCAGATACTTTTTTATGAGACTTAAGTACCATTTTGGCAAACGTATTATTTCTTTACTTTATATCATGAGACTAATTTTATTAAGCTAAGTCTTTTGCTGAGTAAAAGATGCCAGGCCAAGGGCCCGCTTGAGGCCAATAACGATTTTCGAGTACTAGCCATGTCCAAGGTGTAGGCTCAGGCGGGACAAATGTGGTATCAGAGTAGAGAGTTCAAGAGTCCTAGGGAGTCTATGAAGTCGTGTCTGTAGAGTCCTAGTTATTAGTGTGAAACACACAACATATATAATTAGGAGGATGCAACATCAAGGAACTTCTCATTTCTTTCATACTCTTTTCGTGCATTAGAGTTTATCTGTAAAAGTTTCTCTCTAATTCGTGCTTGTGCGTGTTTCTAATAACCATTCCATCACGGAGAGAAGCACGAGGTCGTATCGTTAGGAGAAACATTGATATATAAGAGCAAAGGGTACCTAATGCACCAGAATTACAACCTCAAGGAGAAGTCACCAATGCTGAAATCTGTGAGTCAATCCGAATGTTAAGCCAAGGTGTGACTAACCAAGGTTGGAAAAAATGATGAGATCAGCAAGAAGAGGCTGACACTTCAAGGATTTACGAGTTCTTGATGATGAACCCTCCATGTTTCACCAGTTGAAGCACTACTGAGGATCCCATGAATTTCATTGAGGAACTCAAGAAGGTGTTTGATGTCATGCATGTTGTGGATGCTGGTAGAGTTGAACTAGCTGCATATAAACTGAAAAATGTGGCTAGAACTTGGTTCGAGCACCGGAAGGAGGGTAGAGATGAGGATAAACCATATCTCAATTGAGACGTCTTTGAAGAAGCTTTCTTGGGGCATTTATTTACCCGAGAATTGAAAGAGGCTAAGGTACTAGAGTTTCTTACACTGAAACAAGACTCTTAAAGTGTGCACGAGTATGGGTTGAAGTTCACCCATTTGACCTGCTATGCTCCTGAAATTGTTAAGGACATGAGGAGCAGAATGAGCTTGTTTGTCGCTGGCTTGGGTCGTTCATCAAGTAAAACACGCAGGGCTACCATGCCGACAGGTAAAATGGACATATCGAGGTTGATGGTCTATGTGCAACAGGTTGAAGAGGACAAGTTGAGGCACAGAGAAGAGTATAAAAACAAGAAAGCTAAGTCTGGAATTGAGTCTGGACAACAGAAAGGTAGTATGAACCGTCCATTTTTTCAGAAACAAAAGGGTCATGCACAATTATCTGCTAGTGAATCTCCACCCAGAAACAGAGGTGAGTATAATGACCAAAATTCGCAAAACTTAAGGCTAGACAAACACAGTCCTAAGGTAATATGGAACAAGGAGGTAGTTGGGCTCCTGCATATGGTAGGTATGGTAGAAAACCACACAGTTTAGTGTCATGATGGCTAGTAAGGTTGCTTTAAGTGCAGTCATGAGGGTCACTTCATGAAAGAGTGTCCTAAGAATAAGCAGGGTGGTGGAAATTTGGGTAATGTACCCCAATATTCATCGGCTGCTCCACCAGAAAGGGATGTACCTATAGGAACTACTTCCGGCATTGACAGAGGAGCAAATTACCTCTATGAAATAATTAGCCGCCAAGAGCAAGAGAACTGTCTAGATGTTTTCACTGGTATGATCAAAGTGTTTAGTTTTGATGTTTATGATTTTCAAGACCGAAGAGCAAGTTTGTCTTTTGTAACTTCTTATGTTGCAATTAAGTTCGAAATTCTTCTTGAGAAACTTTATGAACTCTCATGTGTTTCTACACTTGTTGGGGAGTCTATTCTAGCGGAAAGAGTCTATCGTGATTATCCTATTTCAATCAATCACAAGAACCCAATGGATGACCTAGTGGAGTTAGACATGGTAGATTTTAATTTCATTCTAGTTATGGACTGACTTCATGCCTGTTATCCATCAATAGATTTTAGAACTCATATTATCAAGTTTCAGATTCATTATGACCAAGTCATAGAATGAAGTAGTAGTTCAGCGTGCCCAAGGGTCATTTCATTTCGTACCTTAAGGTGAGAAAGTTAGTTTCGAAGGGTTGTATTTGAGTTAATTACTCAAATGTTGAGGTACCTCCCCTCCATCCAGTTCCTATAGCAAAAGAGGTTCCATTAGTCTTTCATGATGATCTACTCGGAGTACCTCCTGAGATAGAAATAGACTTCAGCATAGACATCACTCCAGATACTCTTCTTATATCTATTCCTCCATATAGAATGGCACCATTAGAATTAAAATAGTATAAAGAACAGTTGAAAGATCTGTTAGATAAGAGTTTCATTTGACCAAATGTCTCACCTTGGGGCGCTTCGGTCTTGTTTCTAAGAAAGAAAGATCTTCCCTTAAGATGTGTATAGACTACCGCCAATTGAACAAGGTTACCATCAAGAATAATATTCTCTTTCAAGGATTGATGATCTTTTAGACCAACTTCAGGGTGCCACCTGCTTCTCCAAAAATGATCTCAAATCAGGATACCATTAGTTAAAAGTTAGGGAATAGGATATTCCAAAGACAACATTTAGAACCAGATATGGGCATTATGAGTTTGTGGTCATGTCCTTTGGTTTGACCAATGCACCTCCATCATTCATGGATCTTGTGAATAGTGTCTTCAAACCTTATCTAGATAAGTTTGTTATCTCTTTATTGATGATATACTAATTTATTCAAGGAATGAGGAAGATCACACCCACCTCAGAATGATCCTTTAGATATTGAAAGATAAGGAGTATATGCCAAGTTCTCAAAGTGTGAGTTTTGGTTTAAATCTATGGCATTCTTGGGCGACATAGTTTCCGGCGATGAAATTAGAGTTGATACACAAGATAAAAGCAATTCAGAATTTTCCTAGGCCCACGTCTCTAACTGATATAAGGAGTTTCTTGGGCTTGGTTGGCTACTAAAGAAGGTTTGATGAGGGGTTTTCATGTATTTCATATCCTTTGACAAAACTCAGAAGACAATTAAATTTAGTAGTCTGAAGCTTATGAGAGAATCTTTCAGGAGTCTAAGATTAGGTTGAATGCTGACCTAGTTTTGATCTTACCAGAAGGTACTCAGGGTTTTATGGTGTACTGTGATGCATCCAGAGTTGGTTTAGGTTGTTTCCTAATGACGATTGGCAAAATCATAGCTTATGCCTCAAGACAGTTTAAAGTTCATGAGAAGAACTATCCAACCTATTTTGATCTGTATCTTCCATCACCTCGTTGATCTTGTTGAGCATTCAGTAGTGGTGAGCCTCCTTGCATCCTGGAGGACACATTTATTGCTTTCAGTCTTTCTTCTTGTAGGATGTTGTGGGGTCTGTCCCAACATCCCTCTTAGTATTATTGAGGCTTCAGATAGTCAGATAGTCAGTTTTGAGTCTCTTACTTCTTAATTTCAGATACTTTGTTGTGAGACTTAAGTTCCACTTTGGTCAACATATTATTGCTATAAGTTATATCAGGAGACTGTTTTTATTGAGTTAAGTCTTCTGATGAGTTAAGTAAGCCAGACCAAGGTTCACTCGATGCCTACAATGCTCATTGAGGGCTGGCCACATCTAGGGTGTAGGCTCCGGGCGTGCGCCATCATTAGGTATCCATCCATTTCGTAGAATTCGTCCCCTAAGCCATTCTCTATCAACTATAATATATATATATATATATATATATATTATCCACCTAACATTCTCTTATAACAACAACCATACAAATTACTAATTATACTTATTCAATGTTACAGAAGCGCAATACTCAATAAACAATTCAGTAAATAATCATGTACAGAAAAATATACCCGAAAAAGTGTCACATCCCAAAACCACATCCTAGAACATAGGGCACAATGTCGGATTGTAACCGAAATACTCAACCTCTCAGAGGTCTAATACAAGCCCTTTCATATCATTCATTGCATAAACATAGTAAAAAGTAGTGCGGAACTAAAACTTTTCACAAAACATAATATAGTCTTCAAAATCTCTTTCATATAAAAGTAAAACACTAAGTCTCAATCTCACCATCTTAAGACATAAGAACACTTGGACACGGCTCATACGAAATACGAATATAGAAAATACTTAGTCTATTAAAATACTTCAAAGAAAACATAAAAGACATATATGCCCTTGAGTCAAATGAGGACATACTTCAACTTCTCTTGAATGATCTTCAGTCCAAGTCTTCTTCCCGAAGCTCTTCACCCACGAATAACTATATATATAGATAAAAACATGGAGTTAGTACAACCACACGTACTAATTATGACATTATTCATAAAAATCATGAAAACAGAGTTTTATTTGAAATATGCATATTTTCAATTAAAAATCATACTATAAATCATAAGAACAACATTTAACAATTTAGAAATACATAATATAACATTTAAACCAAAAACATATTTTTGAGATCACTTTACAGTGAACTCATTCACTGTTACAATGAATTTATTTCACTGTACAGTTAATATGCTTATTCTTCACCCGAGACACCCTTTTGCATGTAATCTTCTCACTTAAAGCTATCCTAAGATTCACTTAAATCACGCAAAGAGAGACCGCCCGTAAACCCTTCTAGATGTGCCTAAACGACCCTTACTATTAGTTATAATGAGTCACATACATACTTACCAAGTATCATAATCATCAAGGCAACATTTTTCTACCAAAGGTGACTCTAAGTCTCACGGAAGTGATTTGTGAAGCGACCACGCATACAATCCCTTATACACACACTTAAGAGATCCTATAGACTCCCTAGAATAGAATCATTCTTACTTAACGCACTAACACATAAATGATATGACATTCTTCTTCCAAAGGCTATCAAAATACCTAGTTTAGTAAATCAAGAACATAACGTCCATTGTGACCTCTTCAAGATAACCTAAATAGTCCTTAAGACTACCTAAGGCTTAGATTAGGTCCACAACACCAAACATCTTCCCTAACTATAGTCATCTTCAAGACTTTCAAAGATAAGACATGAAGAGATCATCTCTTATACCATCTTCACACTTTAGCTAAGGAATCCTTAAGTCACTTTACATTAGGTACCTATTCATTTACATACTTATAAACATAAGTCAATAGTTCATTAAGTCTCATACATCATACAAAGGCCTTCAAGTAATGGTCTTAGACAATACCTAGGAACTCCAAATAGCACTTTCAAAATCTATTGTGCAATGTCTAGATAGCGTCGCATACCACCACCTAAACCTAATAAAATTCTCTAATGTTAATATCTATTCCATATGATGAGAATAGGCAATAACTAACGTAGACCATGATAGCAAGACATGGAATCCAGAGTTCTATCCTACTCCGATGAGGCTGTTCTACTTGCCAAGGGTAGAACTTAGACACATCCCATGTAGGCACATGGCCAAGGGTAGTTCTATCCTACTCCGATGAGGCTGTTCTACTTACCATATTTACTCGGTTCTAGCCTTCTTTCTCGTAGACGAATTCACACATTACGTTCATATAAAAAGGTTCCATGACAAGTTCATAACCCAATCACATTTATCCTACAAAAAAGAAGTTCCACTAGGGCTACCTCACAATTGCAACAAGAAGCTCATGATGAATTTCCTAAGGGTTAATATGATGTTGTTCCAGTCAATTAACCTTAAGTCCATTATTGCTTTACTTTGAAGGATACCATAACGGCTTACAACTTCAACAATCTTAACCTTACCACTAAGTCAGGTTTTCACACAAAAGACTCTCTTAAGTTCATTTAAGGTCACATGTCATTCATACATTCAAGACAAAGAGTTCTAACACCCTGAATGAAGACATCATATATTCATAATCATACATACATCAAGCAAGGGATACAAGTCAACAAAGACAAGACACCACATACTTCACTTTTATATCATAATATAAGTCATTCTAGAAGCAACTTTGAAAATATTTGCAATATTTTCAAAGTACTTCCACATATATCTTTCTGCTTACATTGTTGTATACTATATGATCTGGTTTTCCTTTATCTTGTCGTTGCTATCATATTGATATGAATTTTCTTAGATTGTGGTGATTCCTCGTGGTTCCAGTGCATGATCACATGTTATAGTTCTATTCTATTTCATTCCATTTCAATTTTCAGACTTATTGCATGAGGTAGGGGTTGTCCTAGTCAAAATTATGATATAGAGGCTTGTTATCAGACTTAGTATGTTTCCACTTTTTTGCTTCATTCTTTTTTATTGATTAACATAGTCTCATGCTTATGTCAAGTGACAATTTAGAATAATATAATTTGTCATGATCAGTTGTGCATTCTTTTAGTTCAACATGTTTAAAAACTTTCAGTTTAAATGTCTATTATTTCAATCTCATATTTTTGTACCGTTGTGCTATTCAGTTTATCAATAGTATTCGGTCGATCAGTATAGTCTTGGCAGTATGTGATAATGCACAAATATCCTCTATAAAACTAATTAACAGGAAAAACAGTCATAGTCAATAAAAATACCCAACAAAGAGTTAGGATCGAATCACACAAAAATTTGTATATCATAGAGAATTTCATTAAGAAATATGAGTTGTAAAATCATTCATTTTTAATAGTGAGAACAAGTGGGTGGATGATTCCACCAATTGAATAAAAAATATTGATTATGAATTGTCACAATTAAACTAAAATTCCAGGAAATTCAAGAAGTAACAAGCAAAATGAGGGTGCAAGGATTGGATTCAAGGACAGATTGTGTTGCTGTATAGTGATTAACATTAGTGAATATGTTAGGTCATCTTCTGTGACACTAACTTTTTTTAATCTCATCGCATCCTTGCATAGAATCTTCTTTCTGTCTCATGTACAAACTAATCTAAGAAATTCCATACCTTACTTTATTTCTTTCGATGAAGAAAATGGACAAAT